AAGCTACCTTTAATGGCCGAACACGTCACGTGTAAAGTCTTACAGCAGTTCTGGGGACTCTGCATTCTTAAGTGACAGTGACAGTCCAGCTCCAGCACTCCCTGCCCCCAAGCAGGACAGTAAACAGTCACAGGAGAGGGCAGCAGGACGTTGCACTGCAGGGGGCACTGTCTTGGCCGGGCCGGAATGCTTGCCTCTCCAGCCACACCCGGCTGGGGTCACCACTGTCTGCCACGACGTTCCAGTTCAGTAATTGAGAGTTGAAGCCAAAGGCCACAGAGCAGTGGCATAGTTGTCCTGTGTCCTCATGCTAGGTGTCCCTGGGTCCCCTGCGTGACGGGCAGGCACAATGCTGGGGTCAGCGAGGCGCCGGGTTCCTGCCAGGCAGACTGCCACTCCCGGGCGAGGCCCCCTCACGCTTCCCCCGAGGGGCTGCTGACCGCGGGTCCGGCCTGGGCGGGCCAGCGGCCGTCAGCTGTCTCTCACGTCGCGTGCCCTTTCTCGTCAGGCCGGCACTGGCCTCGGGACCGTGACTTGCAGTGGGGGCAGCCGCACGCCTCGTGTGGCAGAAGCTCTGGTTGGTGCTGAGGACGCGGGCACTTCGACCACAGTGCGGTTCACGCCTCAGGGGCAGATGATGCAGGCCGGGCTCTAGGTGCCCGTGGTCGGGCCCGCGGGTCAGAGCCATGGCGGGGGCGGGAGCAGAGCCTGCTCGGCGGTGGCGCTTGGGCACGTACGTGTTCGCGGTGTGGCGGATGCAAACTCAGCCAGCTCACAGGCGGGGTTCACGCTCACGCCTTGCCCTGCTGCTGAATTGGCAAACTGCTGCCAGCACCGAGCCGCCCTCTAGAGTGGCCTGGGCTGCTCCCGCGGGGGAAGGCGTTGGCCCTCTGGCTGCTGTAGCCTCGCCGCACTGCACCCCTTCAGTGGTAGGCACCCCGCTTTCCCCCTTCCTTCCGAGGGGACGTGCTGGACGCTGTGTGCCTTGGTCCCATGGAGCCAGGCCCAGCCGGGCAGGGCCCTCGGGGGCGGCCCAGGCAGCAGGCCCCAGGTGTCTGCCCCCTCGCACAGCTGTCTGCCGCCAGGAAGCCACTTACTGTCCCCACCCCCGGAAAAGGACAGCACAGCTGGCCTCATTCTCCATTTTCCTTCTCAGCAGCAATGCTTGTGGGCAGAGCTGGGTGGCAGCTGTCACAGGCCGAAGCAATGCATGGGGCCTGGCCCAGCCTCTGTGCCTGGGCGGGGGCGGGGCGGTGTCTTCTCTGGGACCCAGGGACCAAGGGACCCAGCCTGGCACAGCTCAGGAACATGCACTGCACCGGACACGTCTGGAATCAGAACCAGCTGCCCAGAAGGGCACAGGCAGGTCTGCCGGGAAGAGGGGTCCCGATGAGCCCTGGGCAGCCTCGCTCAGGCCCTCTACCCGATGGGTGCTCAGACCTAGGGGGCCCTGAGCCCTCTGCGGGGCTGACTGGGCACATCAGTGACCGCCAGGACTGACCGCCAGGGGCTGGCCAAGGACCGAGGCTGCTCATGCGGTGTGGCGTGAGCTGGGTCAGTCCTGACCTGTGGCCCTGGCTCCCGTCTGCAACACAAGCAGAGGCTGAGACGCCCCATCCAAGCTCCATCTCAAACCTGGACTGACTTTTCTGGAACACTGTGTCTCTGGGGAGATGGCAGTCAGGAAGCTGTCTTGAGAACGTTCCGGAACACGTTCAACCGCTAAAGTGGAGCCACCTTGTAACCTTGTCCCACTTGGGATTCGTGCCTTGTCAGCCGTGTTGCTGGGCGTGGCTCTGCCCGGAGGCCGGATCCCCGGAGGGTCTCGCGGGGCGGCAGGGACCACCACTTCTGGCTCAGCTGCATCTGAGGTCAGGGGTCTATGTGAGTTAAGACACCAGTCAACTCCAGAGAGGCCGGGTGTGAGCACGCGTTCGTGCCCCATGCGTGAGCACACGTGCGTGCGTGCGTTTGTGTGTGCGCTGCGTGCATGTGCACGCATGTACGTCTAGAGGGTGTTCCCTACTATCTGCAGGTACGGAGCAGGTGCTTACATCGTGTCCAGCACCGGTTGGAAACATTCTGGTCCCGGGAATGCAGGAGCACAGTGGACAGGTGACACTGAGTCGAGACACCATTGGCAAGGTGGCTGAAACCATACCTGGGTACAGAGGGCTGGCCCAAGGCTGCACTGTGTGTGGTCCTCAGACGGAGAAGACACTGAGCCAGCCAGATTCACTGCAGCAGCTGAAGCCGAGGCTGGGGTTGCGGGCGGGTGTGGACCGCGAGGGGGGCCTCTGGACGCGCCTGGTGAGCGGCCGTGACGTGAGCTGCTGTCATGGGCCATAGGGCTGAGCTGAAAACAGATGGGAAATGACGAGGAAGCAAACCGGTCCCCACCACAGACGGAGCGACAGGCCGAGCATGGCGGCTGCCTGCGTCCCCCTCACCACCGGCGTTTTGGCATTTAGCATCTTCCTCCAGGTAAAGACCACGGACGGCTGAGTGCGAGACTGCCGCTGGATCTCAGAGCACCTGCGGACGGCCTCCCACCGAGGTCGATGAGCTTGGGGACCCGGGTGTGGGAAGCAGCCGGGGCTGAGACCAAGGTCGGAGCCGTATCACCAAGCACGCAGGATGGACTGGGGCGACCTGACCGTCAGTGTCTCCAGGCCCTGGCCCTTCACCTGCCTGCCTCCTGCCCACGCTGCGATCCCGGCGGCCTGAGCTCTCTGTCCGCTGGGCTCGCCAGGAGAGCAGGGCCCAGCACGTGACGACTTCCTGTCTCGTGACATGGCATGGCAAGCCAGGCTCCCTCCTGAGGCAGCTCACACGTGCATTTGCAGGGACCGCCCGAGCCCACTGCCTCACGGGTGTGTGGCAGGAAAGACGCCCCCTCCTACCTCCCCTCCACTGCTTTGTCCGGTGGGGCCTGGGGCGCAGTCCTGGGGGGCTGTTTGTGCCTCCTCTGCCAAGACAGCTGGACCAGCAAAGCCAGCATCCTGCCCCGATCATGTGACCCAGCGAAGCCAAACAGAAGCAGGTGCTCAGGGCCTTTCCCCGCCGGCTCCCAGCCTGCGTCCAAACCAGGAGCTCCGCAGTGTCCCCTCAGAGCTCGATGGACATGGCTCTGGCCACTTGCCGCTTGACGTCAATGTTGACCGGTCCTCGCTCCTCGTAGGGCTTGGAAGCACTGCTGGTCCTGAAAACACCGCTGGCCCCAGACCACTTCTCTGCAAAGCTTCCGGGCCCTGCCGCCCTCAGGCTCACACTGTGGGGACGGTGGCGCATCTGGTCATGGCGCTTCCAGGGGGAACTGGCACATGAAAAAGCGAGACGTGACACTGGTGTCAGCTCAGAAGACTGGGACAACACTCCCGGACAGTGCAGGGAGGGTGAACGGGACGGGCCGCGGGCCCACGTCTGCCGAGGGTGTCTGCAGTTCGTCCTCAGCCGGGGCACGTGCAGCTGGTGAAGGAAGGCCAGTCGCAATGCCGTGACAGTTCCGGAAAGCACAGTGACAGCGAGAGCACGTGACCGGCCTGAACCCTGAGCATGGCTGCCCCGTGGCTGCGACCCAGACGCAGAACTGGGCTGGCCACTGGGTTTCTCCGTGGCTCATGGCCCTATCATGGTGTCACATCCGGCTTTCATGACCTCGGTCACCCTTACACAGCCCAGTGGAATCAGCGCCGGCATGCTGCCCATTTTGTGGACGAGGGAACTTAGGCCCGAAGTGTGAGACGTGCCACGTCACTGGCTGGAAGGTGGCCGAGCTGGGAACCGAACCCAGGCCGGGGCTGGGGCAAGCGAAGGTGACGCCCCCACCACCGCGGCGTCTCCTCTGATGGAGCTCACACTGCTGGACACCCACACCCAAAGAGCTGACGCTTACACGAGTCACACGGCCGGCAGGGAGGAGTCCTGTTTCCTCGCCGTCAGTGACAGAGCACTAGTGCCCAGGGGCCCCAGCACAGTGACAGGGTGAGGGGACACAGGGCACAGAGCTGCGTGTGCCTGCGACTCTGGGGCCGTCACTCACCGGTGACCGTGGCTGGGGTCTAACTTACCAAAAACAAACTGAAAACACGGCAGATGTCACCAGCAGGTAGGGGACAGGCATGCGTGTGAATGACCACTTCCTAGAGCCAGGACGCCAGCTGCCCTGGTTCCTGCTCCTGCCCGCGGCTCGAGGGCTGCCGGGCTTGGCCAACGGGGGCGCTTCTCGAAGCACCGAAGAGCACAAGCTCCCACCCTGGCTCCTCCCAGGGACAGGGAGGGACAAGTGTTCAGAAGCTGTCCCAAGGAGACCCACAGTTGGCGTGCAGGGCGGCACCGGCACCGTCGGACCCGCCGCCTCCCTCGCCACATGCTGAAGGGGAGGGCTGAGCTGCCGAAGTCCGAGGCGCTGCCGGAGAGGACGCCTGGCAAGGCCCCGCGGTTGCCAGAGTCGAGTGGGCATCCCTCCCTCTCAGGGGGTGCGATGCTTGTGACAAATGCCGCTGGAAGGGGCATAGCCCGGTCGTCACCCCACACGGGGCTCATGTTCTGGCCTGAGAGTCCTCCACCCGCAGCCCGACGCTCAGCGGAGCCCAGCCCCCGCCTCGGGCCCGCCGCCTGCGGCCACCATGCACTGCATTGGGTCTCATGCCCCGGCTGTCCCCTAACACGCCAGACGCGAGGGACCCTGTGCGGCCACGCGCCAGCGAGAGGGTCCTAGGTCGGCACTGCTAGCTGTTTCCGGGGCTTCCGAGACCCCGACGGAGACCGACAGCCGGGCGGCGGCGAACAGGGCAGGCCACCTCCTAGCCGCTTGGACGCCCGAGGCAGGGTAGTTCACCTGGAAACTTCTAGCACCTTCGGTCCACCGTCCTACAAGCTCTGAGGCAGGGAGCTGTTCAGGGGTGGCTCGTCCACCCGCACGAGCGCATGGGGCATGCCCTGGGCCCCCAAGAGGGACGCGACAGGCCGCTTGCTGCTGCAACACACTGCACAGCAGCTTTTACAAAAAGGGTTTTTATTAGATCAAAGAAAAACCTGCGTGGGGTCAAATATGAAATAGATACAAAAACTTTACATCCGATGTCTGAGGAGCGGGACACGGTCAGGCCGCGTGGCGTGGGCCCCTGGCCCTCCACGTGCTGGTGGCTTTGGCTGTGGGCGAGCACAGGACGCCACAGCGCTGTGCCCCGTCGGACGCCGGGCCTCACCTGGACATGCCGCATGCTGAACGACCCCCAAGCCCCTCCCCCACGCTGCAGATCACGGCTCCAGCCGCGCTCTGAGCCCTACGTCCACCCCGTCCCAGAAAAGAAGCCTTTCCTGAAGTAGAACTTCTAAAAACACCTATTTCTGCAAAATAATGTGTTTCTGTATGTGGAGCTTTGCAAAATATACAGGTCTTTCTGGAGAAAAGGAAAGCCCGTCAGAGGGGCGCGGGCCAGCGCGGGGCGTCGACGGGGGGCGGCGGGCGGGGCGGCTCACATGAGGTCCAGCTCCGCCTCCAGGGCCGCGGCCATCTCGTCGGCCTCCGAGCTGCTCCCCTCGTCCTCGCAGCTGGACTCCCTGCTGGACTCGCTGGCCGCGTCCTCCTCGCGCAGCTTCCTCTTGTGGCCTCTGGAAGACAAGCACGCGCGCTGAGACGCCCGACGCGCACGCGGCCCGGGGACGGGGCTGCGGTGTCAGCTGCGGCCGAGGACAAGTGGGCCGCCCGACCCGGGACCAGGACAGACAGGCTCCCTCCGCGCCCTTCCCCGCCAGGCTCACACTGCCAAGGACAGAGATGTGGGGGACGAGTCCCCCAATGCTGCTGAGAAACCACCCGGGGGTCAGCGATGCACCGGGAGACTTTGAGACCACCGCGCCAGGACTGTTCAGGGGGACAGTGACGCGGCTACAGTGACAGGGGACGGGACGGAGGGGGGCAGAGCAGCGAGCCTCCCACAGTCACTGGGGGTTCCCAGGCCTTGGCTGCAGCGGCTCGGGAGGGACTTGGAGATGACCAGGCACCTGCCTGGGTGGGGCACTCTGTCCCTGGAGGGGCTCACGGGAAAGCCAGGCCCAGGCCTGGGCCCGCGAGTCTGCTCACACGGAGCAGGTGACTGCAGACGGTGACGCCTTCATCCAGGTCCCGTGGAGTCACGTTTCCACCTCCCAGTGAGGATGTGCTGTCAGCACACGACAGACGTCTGTGTCCGCGGTCATGGGGACCCTGACCACCGTGCCACCTGTGAGCCGGCATGACTGGTCTCCCCCACAGCCCAGACACTGGCAACCGTCGCCGCAGGGAACCGCCAGGTACGAGCAGGTGACCCAAAGCCCCAGGGGCACGGCCGGTCTGCTCGAGCCTGCGGATGCTCACAGGCCCGGAAACCAAGGCCAGCCAGGGTGCGTGCCCGCCCTGGCCCAGCGCCTCTGAGCGGCTGTGTCCGCAGGCAGCCGTCAAAACTAAGGACTCTGATGAGCCACAAGTGCACCGACAGGAGCCCGTTACGTAACCAGCAAGGGCCATCAGCCCTCCTCCTGAGCCGCTACAGGTCGCTTAGCTCCACTGATGACCTTGGGGACGTGAGCTGGAACACGCTGCGGAGCTCCCAAAGCAGCGAGTCCAACCTGCCAACGACCGCCTTGCAGGCTGCCGGGGACACCCAGCCACGACCCTAACGCCCTGTCCCAGCTTTGCCCCGACGAGCGGCCTGGGCAGTGCCAGCCCCACGATACAGTCCCCAAGCCCGGCCGGGGGATGTGCCATGACGGCAGTCTCGGCCTGACGTGTAGGGTATGTGACTAGGCATGTATAGCACACGTGTGGCAAGCGTGTAACTACACGTGAAACACGTATGTGGTGATGGCGGGCGCAGCATGTGCGAGTCTGCATGCGGACAGAGCACGCAGACACCGTGCGGACGGCACACACCACGAGCGAGCACCCGCAGCACCCGGCCCCCCAGACCGCACGACTCCCTTGTGCGAGACAGGAGAGGCCGCCGCATCCTGCCGCGCGCTCGACTCCGCCAGGCGTGCCCACCCGGACGCCAGGGTCCTCACCTGGGCCCGCGGCCGTCCCCCGTGCCCCTCTGGCTGGCTGACTTCGGCCCCCGCGGGGCCCCCAGGGCCATGGGCTCCCTGGGCTGAGGCCCGGCTTCCTGCTCGTCCTCCGGCTCCTCCGGCCTCCTCTTCTCGCTGTCGCTCTCGTCGCTGCCCTCCCCTAGGATGTCGTCCACCTGAAGGAGACGGGAGAGCAGGAGTCGGCATGTGCGCAGACAAACTCTCTACGGGGAGGGAGACACGGCCGGCCAAGGCCCCACCCCGAGCCCAGCACCCACCGCGCCCCACCCTGCTCCACGCTGCATCACGGCAGCGCCGAGACACGCTATGTGCACACAGCGGGGGCCGTGGGACGCCACCCCTGGCCGGCACGGGGCATGCGGGTCGCTCCCCGCCGCGTGCCCCCACGGGACCGCAGCTTCGCGGTGCGCGGTGGCATCCTCCGAGGCGGCGCCAGGCAGTGGGTGGCAGCAGCGCTTCTCCGGGAGGAGCCCTGTGTGCGGGAGGGGCGTCCCGCCACAGGGTGCCCATGCTGCTTTTCTCTGAAAGACCTCAGGCGTCGTCACCCACAGATGTGCCAGGTGGGGGGACGGGAGCGAGCAGTACAGGAGGAGGGCGGACTGAGACCCACCGACACCAGCTCGCGCAGCGGGGAGAGAACGGGGCAGAGGCTGCCGGCTGCAGCGCTCCCCGGGGCCACGGGCCCGGCTCCACCTCGCGGCGGCCCGGGAAGCAGGCCAGGACACGGCCGGCTGCACCGCACGGGCACGCGTCGGCACCACCAGACGCGCCCGAGGGAGCCACTGGGCCAGACTCGGGCGACCCTGGCTGCCGTCTGCACCTGACCGACCTCGGGCGTGACCTCTGGCCGACCCCACGCCCCCCCTCTCGTTTACCCTGGTCCTTCAGCAGAGGAGACGCCGGGCGACAGCCACAGCACGAGAAGCCTCTTGGCCAGCCCCCCACCCTGCAGCCCCGGCTCTGGAACACCGCCACGTTCCCGAGTGACGCTGAGCTAGCACACCTGGAGTCCTTAACCACTCTGCCCTAACGAACATGCGACAGGAAGACGTGCATCTCCGGCACCGAGACGACCACGAACTCGTGGCGCTCTGCTGACAGCATCGGCCCGGCTGGCAGAGGCCCAAGGACACCGGCAGATGTGTCACAAGCACCCAAGACATGCCAGCCCCTGTCGCTGCACCTGCAGTGACGTCAAGCTGGAGGACAATGTTCCTGGACCCAGCTCCTAGGCTCAGAAGCCCTGCTGGGCGACCCTTCGCTTTAAGTGTATGGGCCACTAAGGCAGTGCCCGTGCCCGAAGACGGCGACATCAACCTACTTAGAAAGGCGAAAAGGGGGTGTGGGGAGGCAGCCCTATCTAATGTGGGGGACACACCGGCCACAAATGGGGCCCGAGCAGACACCGAAAGTGTTTTTGTTTTTTCCAAAAAGATAAATGCAGAAAAAGCAAACACTGCTATCCAAACCCCTGTAAGTCAACGCAATCACGTTTTTATGACCTCGGAGAGGCCATTACCTAGTAAGTTTGTCTAGTCTGTAAAGCTGCTGCACGTGCACGAAATGATGAGACACTTATTTCCTGGTCTCTGCCCTGTCTCCCTTGGAGTTTCCTGGGTGACAGCAGCATTTCTGTTCTCACGTGACCCTGGGTGGCTCCTGGATCAGCTGAGAAGCCTGCTGCCTTCGGTCCCACTCCGGCCCCAGGAAGGGGACAGGGCCCACCATGCTCTCCCCAGGAAGCTCCCGAGTCCCCAGGGCATGGGCTGGGGGCTTCCAGGTGGGTGCACACAGCCAGGTGCTGGGAGGGCGGTGTCCCTCGCTCCAGGGGACAGAAGCTCCTGCACTTGGGGCCCCTCTGGACTGCACCTGGAGGCTGTGCACCAGAACCCTGCACCGCACCCCCCATTACAGAGAGATGCGGTGAGCCTGGCTGTGTGCTGCCCTGTGTCCTGCGGGCCGTTCTGGCAAACGATGGGTCACGAGGAAGGGGTGCGGGAACCCCAGCTCACAGCGCTTGTCAGAGTCCAGCTTACGAGCTGGGGCACTAGTTGTAGCTGGTGTCTTGGGTGGGACTGAGTGCCCAGGCTGTGGGGTCTGGGCATTTAGTGGCTGAAATGCCTGGTGTGGACACCCACACCTCTGGTCACGTAAGTGTCCTGTGCCTGTGAGCAGAGGACACAGTGCTGTCCGTTAGTGATCTCAACAAATGGCCTGCCAGCCGACCCATCTCTTGACCCGAATCCAGGAGGGCAGGGCCGGTCCGCCCCGCCGGAGCACAGCGGGGTGTGGAGGGTGCCAGGGGACCTGGGGCTGGCTGCAGCGGACAGCGACACTCTTAGAGCAAAGCCAGCTGCAGCCCTGGGCAACTGGCACCGTCACCCACGCGAGTAACGACCCGCCACCCTGTCTCCAGTCCACACCGAACCCCCTAAAATGTCCATGAGCAGGGGGGGCCCAACGAGCCACACGCCCCTCGAGGGACACAGAGGAGAGGCAGCCGACCCTGCAGCAGCGCTACTGCGTGTGCCCGCGGGGGAGCACACGTCGGTGACAGGGCTGCCCGGCCAGTGGGCCCGGCCAGCGAGGGAACACAGGGGCGTTCTCTCGCAGGCTTTCAAACTCCGAACCCCAGAAGCGTATGGCCTCCAGCCCCTTCGGGCCTGCTGTCAGCCCCGGTGCTCGCGCGTCCCTCGTTCTGTGAGGACCTGTGAAGAGGGGCTCTGACACCTGAGTACTGTCCCTTCCGGACCTGGCAGAAATTCCATACTGTGAAAATCGGCTGAGATGACAGGCGGAACCACCCCAAACCCTGGTGGCTGTGGGACCCCCACGAGGCAGAAGCAGAAACATGCACACGTGCGCTGTCCCGGGGGACTGACCGCACACAGCACCCCTCTAAGCAGGCCGCCGCCCCAGCCTCGGAATAACTGTCCAGCTGAGCTTAAAACGACACCACCTTCACGAAAGCACCTGGAGCCGACAGATGCGTTTTTCTCCGTGGCCGGGTGTTTGCAGCGGTGGAACCGCAAGCGTTTACGCACCTGTGCAAGCTGACGGTGCTGCAGGGTGTGCAGTGGGCGAGCCTGCGGTCACCCGAGTTTCTCTCGGTCTTTCAACTCCAGTAGGCAACCGCCAACGAAGGCCTGGGAGGTGGCAATGGGACAAGGCCCTCCCCGTCCGTCCCTCGGCCCAAGCGGTCAATCAGGAAACAGTCCTGAAGGCTGAGTTTCGGGTGAGCTGCCTGCTCGTACCCTGGGGACAGGGCCTGGCAGGCTCCAGGGACGGGCACGCCAGGAAATGAGAACTAAACCATGACATGTGCCCCCCTGCCACTACTGTTAATATTACAATGCTACTGTCACGTGTCATCTGGAATCGCTTCTCCTAAAGGCCAGGGGGTGCCGATCCCCTAGGGGCATCTGCACACACCTGCTTCCTGAGGCACAACACAGGAGGACGGCCTGCTGGGACAGACGCCCCTCTAGCACCGGTTCCTGTGCGTGTGTGAGCACGTGCATGAGAAACACGACTCTGGGACTCGTCCACACAAACCCTGAATCTCGTACCTCCACTAGCTGGCCCGCGAACACCTGCCCCATGGAAGCACGTCACCTATCGGGAAGTCCCTTGGCGAGTTGCCGTGGCGCCCCTGCCCACTCCTGGAGCTCGGTCACACTCCCGAGCAGAATGCCAACCTAACACTGACCTTGAGGCAGCTCAGGCCACACACTCGTAGACAACAGCCCAGCAAGCCCGGCCGCCCACGCAGGCTGGAGGTAACGCACTGAGAAAGATCCAGGACGGCAGAGGACAAGCGGCAAACCTGTGCACGCACCACCTGCTCGTAAAACATGCATGAGACCCCTAGTGCCAGGGAACACCGAGGACGACCTTGTCTCTGTGCCACGACTCACCTGGAATATTCCGCAGAGCCCTTCTCAAATGTGGCCTTTCCCCAGTCTGCTCTGACCCCAGGGGGCAAAGCAGTGACACACAGTGTGTGGACGACACGGCTCTGTTTTGATGACTCTATAAGTGGCCAAACAGGGGCGCAGCATCCGGGGCAGCAGGTCTAGGCCCCACCACGGCTGGCAGCCACCGGCCACTTCTCCAGTGTCTTCTGCCCCAGTCCCCCTCCCAGCTTTGGGGCTCTGGTGACACAGATGCTGAAGGTCAGGTACTGACCCAAGTATCCCTGAGGCTCAGATCATTTCTCCCCCAACCCGTTCCCCTGCTTAACTGCAATTTCTGTGACTGTCTTTGAGTTCGGTGAGCCTCCCCCGCCCCCCCCGCCCCCCCGCAGGCCGAGAGGACTTCGGTGACTTTTTCGATTCTAGCATTTCTTCTCCAGGCTGCGCTCACATCGGGCTGCCCCACCCCAGCCCCCTCACAGGGTCTGACAGCTACATCTGGGCCACCCCAGAAAATCTGCCATCGCCCGTTCGGGAATACGCCAGTCTCCAGTGACCACTGAGTAACCTCTGGATTGTGCCCTGGACATCTCAAACATCATGACATCCTGTTCGGGCCTCTGCAGACATGAGCTTTGTGCCTGACACATGACCAGACTGGTCAGGCTGTGATGGAAAGTTGCGTCTTGCCTGTCTACCCCGCACCTTGGGTATCCACCGCAGAAATGGCCTCTGACCGTTTCTTGGGGTCTGTCCCATGTCTGTGCTCGTGCGGTGAGCCCAGGGCCGGCTTGTCTGCAGAGCTAGGGGCCCTTCTCTGAGATCGGGCGCCAGGCCACTTGCAGGGCACACGAAACAAATGGCTGGCCCCCACCACTCTGCTCTCAGGGGCCTGTCCACCATGACAAGACAGCTTCATGGCGGGCTGGCCCAGAAAGCCGGGGGTGGGGTGGGCAGGACAACACCAGGAAACCACCTGCACGCTGGTTCTTCTCAGGGCACCTCCCACTCCGCCACATGCTGAGGCTGGACCCCCTCGACCCCTGCCCGGCATAGGCAACAGGGCTCCGCTGCCTGCCAGATGGCGGGGGTGCCTCCCGCCCCACAGCGAGCCCTCCTGAGCCCCGGCAGTCCCATGAGTACCGGGACTGACGCCGGTCACCGGGGCTGACGCCGGTTACCTGGCCCTGACACGAGTCTTGTGCTCCCTGTGGAATTAAACCCTCACGTGCACATGATGT